AAGAATCGACATTGAATCGTATTCCAATATAAGTCATAGCACTGTTAGAGAAGATGTGAACTTCATATCTCAACAAGAAACCCATAGAAACCCAAACCATTTTGATGTTTTTCTAGTCTCACTAACACCTACATATGGGCAAAATATCAAGTAAAAAGCAGAGCTTCATCTGGGGATGTTTTCTCGTCAAATATACTGCTCAATATGGAATAGATATTGTTCGAGTATGCTAATAGAGGCAAAGATGGTGAGGTAGAATGTTAATGAATTGATATTAACAATCGGAGTTTGCTTTTTTTTGTTTTTTGCTTTGTTTATTAGGATGTATAAAAGTACTCGATGTGGTTTTAAATTATTTTCACGTGAAAGTGCAAGAAAAATTTTTTTACAAATGTATGTTGAACTATGGTTATGAATTTGATTATTTAAATATTATGATTTTTTTTTGTTCAAGGGTATTTGATGTTGAACTTTTATATATTGTAGAACAATTAAAATTTTCAATTTATGAAATTGATATTAATTGGCAAGAAATTTCAGGTTCAAAAATTGATCCATTTACAGCTTCATTTCAAATGAATATTGATATATTAGCAATTTGAATTCGATATTTATTAGTTATTTGGACAATTCAATATAAAAATGAATAAGAAACATTTATAACTATATGTGATTTTTATTGTTAATATATGTATATATTTTTTTTTTTTTTTGTTATTCTTAACTATGAATTTTTCTTTATATTGTTATTATTAAAATGAATAAATTGCTGATTTAAAAACAAAATTTTTCTCTTAGAATGGTACATTTTTCAGAGAATGAATCTAATGTTTCACTTTATTTTTAAAAGCCTATTGAGAGTTTTATGAAGGCTTTCTCAAGGAATATTCAAATGGTATGAAATTTTCCGAATATGTTGAAGTTGATGTGAAGAGGCTATGATACAATTTTTAGCCAGATATCATGATGTTTGACGGAGATATTGATCCAAACAAGAGTCAAAAATAGTTCATTTGACAAACCAAATTTCTCTGTTCAGGTAGATTTAACTTTTCTTTTGTTTGAAATAAAAAAAAACCGCTCTATACTTCAATGCGTCTGAACGCACTTTTTCAAACTAAAAAAACAAAATTAAATATGTTGAATGAGTATCGACAGAGAAATTTGATTTCTGCACTCAAGAAACTATAAACTGAGAAAAAAATGAAAAAGATTTTCTGGTTTTTTTCTTCAAACAGCTTAATAGAGTTTGACAGAGATCTTTAAAAAATTTTAGAAAAGTCGAGATGCCGAGTAAAAATTTTTGTCGTTTATAAAAGATCAAATGACGAGATATATAAAAATTAATATGAAATATATCATAATTAATTATATTAAAAGGCAAAAAAAAAATATGTGATAATTTCTTTTTTTTCAAATGCGTAAATCAACAATATGAAGAAAAGGAAAATAATATGTTCGTATATAACTCTTTGCATATCAATGTCATAGATCGTTAATTGAACTTTAGTAAATAATCTTTTATCTTAGAATATTCTTCGATTAAATTTCTTTTCTAGTGAATTAATTGTTGATTTTTTTTTTGTTTTTATTATCTCTTTGTTTAATTCTTGTAAATCAAATATAGAATATTTTAAAATATATTAAATCTATAGAGATTATTTTCATCTAATATCTGCCTCCAAATATATTCAAATAATTTCTAATTAAAAAAAAAAAGTCTCATGTGTAAATGTCCTTCGACGTATTAAATTTGAAAAATAAAGATAAAGTTCTCATGCAAATACTTGATTGACAAGATCTAATCATGATTGAATGAAACAATATCATGTATTGTATATTTAGCGTGCTTTTAAAGTTGATTTGATTAAAAAAAAGACAAGAAGAGGAAGAGTTCTCATATTACAATACATTCAATTCTTGATAAAAGAGAATACCAACAACAACAAAAAATGTATAGATATACAGTAAATTGATTTACTCATTCATCTGTTATTTTTATTCTATACTTTCAAATAGAAATTAAATTGATCCATGGATGCTGATGAATTTCGACAACGAGGTAAAGAAATAATTGATTTTATTGCTGATTATTTAACAAATATTCGAACACGACGTGTTTTTCCCAATGTTAAACCTGGTTATATGCGTCCTATGATTGATGATGAAGCACCAAGACAAGGTGAATCATGGGATAAGATTTTTAATGATATTGAACGAGTTATTATGCCCGGTGTATGTATAATATAAATTTCTCGATTTGATTTAGTTTTTAAAACCTTTATTATTATTATAGATTACACATTAGCAATCTCCTTATATGCATGCATATTTTCCAGCTTTGAATTCCTATCCATCTTTACTTGGAGTATGATACAAATAGATTTTTTTTTCTGTAAATGATTGATTTACTTTGATATTTAGGATATGCTAGTAAATGGTTTAAATCAATTAGGATTTACATGGGTATATACACAGGCCCCGCGCAAAGATCCCAGGATCGGGGGGGGGGGGTGTAATGGGTTATGAGGCAGCTATGCTTGAGCGAAGCAAAATTTTTTTCAGTGGCGTAGCCAAGAGGAAAGAGGATCGGTCCCCTTCCAATAAAAATTTCCTGGTGGGGTACAGAGTTAAATTTTTGCTTTGCGAAAATTTTTTTTACCATGATGGTCCCGCTTGGAACCCTGGTTCCTCCTTTTAGAAAACTTCTGACTACACACCTGACTTTTTTTCGCATTGGATCTGATATTAATGTTTCTCTTGCAACCTAAAATGTAACAATTTCTCGCAAAGCGAAAACTTTTTGCAACCTTCTTTAAAAATTCAACTTTCTCGGGCGAATTTTCAAGAAGACAAATCATGTCCAATGTAAGAAAATTTCTCAACAATTTGGCCGGCGAAGGCGGCCACGCTGGTGACGATTGTTCTCGATTAGGTCTTTCAAAGGAAAAATCGACTAAAGTTGGAAGTTTTTCTAAGGTAACTGTGGTTACGCAACTGTTATTTTTCGCGAAGCGAAAACTTTTCTCAGACTTATGAAAAACTCTTCTTTTGCTTATTTTTTCGAAGGGAAAAAGTGTTGCGATAAGTCGTAACAATTTTGCCACCGAAGACGGCCATCTAGTGATGATGGCTTGAAAATGAAGCTGCTCACAAGGTAGAAAACCGTAAAATTGTCATAAAAATAGAAAAATCATAGACATTTTTAGGCCGAATACGCTCATATGGTTATTTCTTCGCGAAGCGACAAATTTTAACATCTCAGAATTTTCTAGAAAAACCATCGTTTTACACTGGGTTTTGAGAAAAAGAAACCATCTGATTTCTTCAACTTGCCATAGAACTTCATGTTTTTCACTGATATCCCAACTATAGTTTACAATTATTCGGGAAAGGTCATCCCCTGATTCCCGTCTCTACTCAGAATCCTTTAGGGAGATGTCTGAAAAACCTCTAACAGCGAGGATACTTTAAAAGTTCAAAAAAATTCATCCACTTTGCTGACTAATAATAAATAATTTTCAATTATTGGTGAGGTGTACACACCCCCCACTTTCGCGGGTGCTGCCCACACTCACCCACACCCTTTAGGAAATGTCATCCTATAATATGAATTATATCATTACATTTCAAGTTAAGATAGACTCAGTTCACAAAGACTATCGGAGCTACGAAATAATTAATTGTCGCATTTTTCAATATTCTAATAGTAAAGTATTGAATAAAAATTATGCTTGAAACTTCACATTGAGACGTAAAGCTGCCGCTCATAATAACTTGTAATTAATTTTAGACGAAGCTATTATTATATACCTTAATCGTAGAATATAACAAAAATGCGAAAAGTAATCCGTTTGAAAAGCACTGATTCCTCTGTTGATGTCAGCTGATGTTAGTTTGAGACATGATGAAAGCTATATAAATAAGATGAGATATCTCATGTTGCACAAAATTACGAACACATCTTCTGGACAAACAATACTCTGTATAAGTTGAATAGAGAAAAAAATTGTCACTAATATACGGAGAGAAATTGAATCATTTGGCAGCGCATATACTCTAGTACAAAAATCATAAATTAATTGATTTCTTTCAGTTATTTGACTAATCTGAAATAACTTTGTGAAACTTCTATGTCGAAGTTATAACTTTCTCAAACTTCGATATAGATATTGTAACTTCAATGAAAATGTTTGACTACATTTCTATATCGAATTAAAACTGTTTCATTTCTTTCTTAAGTATCATACGGAACAATGAGAAAACTTTCTTGAATGGCATTGTTTCTTAGTGGAATTCGATCACTACTTTCGTCGACATATGAATATTCCTGTTGCATACTGCCTGATAGTTTTCTCTAATGGTAGCGATTTATTTTGCATTGTATATTAATCACTAGATCTGAGCGAGATCTATCGAATGATATCGAGAAATTCATATGAAAAAATGAGAGTACATATTGATCACAATATTTTTGATTGTTTTGTTCCATTTTCCATATTTATAATGGTCTTACACACTTCTTATTTCCACAAATTTGAATACAATATCATTTGTTTTGTCAACGAATATAATTTTTATTTTCTACCTTTTTCATATCAACAATAAATTTGATGAATTCTCAGAAATATATAAAGAGCAAAATGTTCGTGTTCCCATTTCATTCGTACAAAAATGTTTTACAACGAAAACTATTCTAGAAAGAGGAAACTCATCATATTTAAACACACAAAAATGTTACCCGATTTTGACTGAAGCTGTAAGAAATATTGAATTTTACTCTTAAGATTCAGACTATTTTTACATTAATGAATAACAATGCTTCCCATACTTTTCTTAACCGCTTACATATAACACTTAATGCAAATGAGACTCAAATTGTATGAATTGAGAGAAAAATCAACGCTTTATTAATAGATATTAGCAAAAAAAATAAAGGGACTAAGAAATCCGTTTGGAGAAGATGCAGATAAACTTTAATGAAAGTAGGTTAACCTACGAATCTATCAAATATCAAGAATTCGATATTCACAGTGAAGAATAATCACAATGAACAGATGAATAGCGAAATAGCGAAAAAAATGTTGTACCCCTTCACAGAAAAACAAAAAGAGTTTCAGTTCTAAAGTAAATAAGAGTAAACAGAGATACTAGTCAAAAAATCTTCAAATCATTAGAAATGCAGTGCTATTTCAATCAGCATGCCCGCATCCGTCAACGTTTCGACTGAGAGAAAAGATAAATGAATTAAAAAACATAGTGACTCGTAGAATAATCTATATTCTAAAGAAGAAAGCGAAAATTAAAAATATTCGAAGTTTCCGATTACTGGACCCAAATTTACAAAGCTATAAAAAAAAAGAAATCACCTTTACGTACTTCTCGCCCGTTACTGCCAGAATACTTAAATAGAGCAAACAATGTAGACATCGCACAAAAAAGATAAATTGATGAAAATCCCTGACTCTACTGCGGACAATTAAAATTTTGATTTTTCATACACAAATCCTTATATAGTGTGCCAGTGAAAAGATATTTCGCTGCCCGTGTGAGTGTGCTTCTGCAGTAAAGGTACGGAACCCTCTGAGGATATTCGTTTCAGTACCACCATGGGTGTGAAAGTGCGTCTTCTGCTCTTCTGAGTTTCCCAGCAAGCGCTGGCGTTCCTTTATCATAAACCCACATGTACAGGGAACAAAGAGCCAAATAGGTCAAAAACCATTATTTTCCCACTAATGGGAGTTTTATGCCGAATCACCACCGTTGAAAATGACACCATTCGATTCAGCGTTAAATTTCCACGCAACTCATGCGAATTCGACCCAACTCAGGTAAGATGGTGAATCCACACACGGATTCTGGGGCTCAATGGGTGGACAAACCCGTTTTTAGTCCTAAAGGGCTTTTCTTGTTCCATCACCACCCTCAACAGTAGCACTATTCGATTCAGCGTAAAATGCTACACCTAACTCATGGGAATGAGACACAACTCAGGTAAGATAGCAAATCCGGACAGGAATTACTGGGCAGAATAGGTCGAAAAACCAGTATTTTGGAATTAAGGGGGTTTTTACCCTATGACCCCCTTTGAAAATGGTACCATCGGATTCAGCGTAAAATTCTATACCTAACTCATGGGAATGAGACCCATCTCAGGTAAGATTGCGAATACGGACAGAAAATGGCGAATATGGTGCTAACTTTACCGACGTGTACTCAATGATGATTTAAGACGATCACCTAACCATACTATCTGTACTATTCTAAGTTCTACAGACAGGACCTGGAACACCACAGAGATCTCCTCGAGTGCTAGAAACACCACCTTAAGGGTGTGAATGTGGACTTGATCCTGAGAGAAGAGAAAGCTAAAAAGATACTCACAGCCACAGAAACCCATACAGCACACGGAAGTGTCAGCGCACAACTGTCGATAAATCCAAAAAAGTGGTCAAATGATTTTCGAGCAACCTGTTTCCTTTTCTCTATAAATATATATATATATATATAATTATAAGACGAGAATATCGTCAATATAGGAAAATACTCGGAATAAAAGAATCATTTTCTTCTTTTTAAATCTTATTATCTTGCAAATTAGTATCATGTACACATTTAGTTAATTCTTTTCTTTTGATGGGGAATAATGATGATGATGATGATGATAAATGAGATGATCGTTCGTACAGCAAAATAATTCGATGGTTTCTGGATAAAGATTCATCTTATTGTCTATTTAATAGATGTATTAATACATATATGTTAGTAACAAGAATGGCTATGATGAACCAAATATGAATTAGAAAAACTTTTGATATTTCTTTTAATTGTTTTAGATGGTTTAAGATGTAATTGTATCTGTTTACCATTTTATCAAACATTTTCACCAGCAACAATAAATATTTTATTAAACAAAAAATAATGGATGTAGTAATGAACTTGATGATACAGTTTTCTTTTTATTATCTAGAATACAAATGTATACACCGAAATGTTTTCATACATATTGTGTATTCATGATAATGATACTAACACTAAACTTAGAAAGTCATTCATAAATGGGTAAAAACTTATCAAGAAATATTCGAGTTTCATTATAACACATCAATATTTATATGAAATTCGCATAAGTGATTTAAATATCTATTGATATATAAATCGGTGATAGTAATTATTCTATAATTCTCAATGCTATTATATTTCACTTATAAAGTTAAATATATTCAAAATCAATAAATCACATTTCACAGCGAAAACACCTAACACATAGCTTCATCTGATTGGTTCACCTACATATTTCTTTGTCTAAAACATCCTTTATTAAATTAATTGATCATCAATGATTGGTCTTCATTTAAACAATGTCCGTCAAGCATAACTCTTCATATATATATATATATATGTATGTTCTATTGTTAAAGGGACACATACTGTCAACAATGAACTGTTTGTTAAATATGAGTATGTACCTATTTTACAATATCATTTATTTTTTGATTCTTTTGCATAGAAGATATTGTTCAACTGCTCGATTTACCTGATGAGTTAATTTTAGCTATTATGAATAAAATTAAACCTCGAATGTTATTGCTTTGTTCTATTATTGATATTGGTAATAATCGTTTGGAACAACTTGTACTTGATGGATGTCATTCAATCGATTTAACTTTTGATTATTCTACATCGCCCCATAAATTACTTTTTAGACGGTTTTATTCACATGTCATGCCTCGTATCAGTAATCAGATTCAATCATTGACACTTGACATTCCACATATTCGTCATCTTATCAATTTTGCTGAACAAAACTGTAATGGAACTCTTCCAAATTTGACACATTTGAAAATAACGACTGGTATACAATGTCATGAAACAGGCGCACCTTATACATTAAGTAAATTATTATTAAGTTTATTTTTTTAAGCTGTGTTTAAATATTATTTTAGTTCATTTTCTACTTAGAAAGTGAGAGAAATTTTATGATTTGAGAATTTAAAAATTTCTTGTTAATATTTTATATAAAAGAAATCTCTACGCTATATTTGTATAGAAAATTTCTATGTAGTGCAAAACTTACGGTATCATTCTATTTCTATTTTGACATATCAAAGTTTCTTTCACAAAAATGATAGTTGAGGCAAATATCAAAAGGTCTTTTTTGTCAAATCATTATTATCCAAAAGCAAGAGTCTAGGTTGAAAAGTATTATATTGTAGCACTCATATACATATTTTTTTATTAGGTACCAATCTGTACAGTAAATTACGCCGCAAACCTCTCTTCTCAATTATGCCTCAATTAATTCTTCTGTATAAGTATTTTCGTGCGCAAATCTTATCTACTTTTCTTTGTTCATCATATATGCGTTCTATTGTATCGTTCGAACTTGATGATAATTATATTTTACGAGATGCATTTAATGATGATCGGTTGTTTTTCGCTCATTCAATTCAACTGACTCATATTCGAATAACATTACATCGATTCGAGTATTGCGTCCGTTTACTAAATCAATTGGGCTCACAACTCTATTCATTCGCTGTAAGCATTCTGTATGTTTGTGTACGTGATTTTAATATATTATCTCAAATAAGATCGGTAAATAATGTTTTGTTAATTTTCAAAATTTCATTTAATTTATTCATTTTAGATTTCGTGTCCCTATTTGAAACAATTGACAATGACAATCTATCGAAATATTAATAATTATAAAGGATGTATTGTTCCTCTTCTACAACATTGCTCAAATGTTGAATATTTAACATTATTATTAGCTATTGGCGTAACCGGATATGAATCCGGTAATTTTGTTAATGGATATGATTTAGAGAAAGATATTGTTTCATACATGCCTCATTTACGTCAATTTAATTTTCATATTCGTTCAATATTAAAAAAAGCGTCTCATATAACAATTGACACCATTCGTCAAAGTTTTATAAAACTGCAACAACAATCTGTTGATTGTGCACTCGATCGTTTTAATAATAACCATAGTCAATGTCAAATTTACTCGCTTCCATTTATTGGTACTCGTCTTGACTTTATTTCAAATCGATTTCCACTCTTCGATATAAATAACATGTTCTCAATGGTTACCATATTATTACTTTTCGATGATGTTAAACCATTTGAAAATATTTTCTTTGCACATGTCGCTCGAGCTCTACCTTCTCTTAAAACACTCGAAATATGGAATGAACTTGAACAACAAGAGAAAACAACAACTACGACAAATAATCTTGAATTTACGCATTTAACTACGCTAATTCTATTCGATATTCATGTAGATTATGCTGAACAATTTCTTTGTCGAACTCATCTTCCTTGTCTAATCGAACTTGCCATTCATAAAGACATATTATTAGCAATAATTGCTCAAGATCAACAACAAGCAAGAGACAATTGTTCTAGAGTGGAAACACTACGAACTTCTGAGCCAATCTATGATTCAGTATATGCTCTTTTGAACTTTTTTCAACCAGGTTCCTATTTAAAACATCCAAAAGAATATACCGAATAAAATGCATGATTTATGTAAAAGTATTAAGTAACTCTCTTAATAAATTTTTATTGCTCAACAGTCAATGAAATAGAAGCATTGTAAAGATCTATATTGATTTAAATATAATAGCGAGAAAAATTAGTTTTCTTCTTTCATATAAGTAGAGAGAAAATATCAATGTTATTGTTTATTTTATTGTTAATATAAGAATACTTTTAGTAACGTAAGACAAGAATCAATGGTTTACTATTAGTGATTGAAGTTTCAGTGAGAAAAGTGGTCGAATCTATGATGTTCTATAGACATAATCATAAAATGTCTATCTGTCTCTTCTCAATACACTGAAGAAGATTTTATTTTATGGTTCTCAATAATTTATATTTTATCAGAGTAAATTAAAGATTTGAATATTTTAGCTTTGTGAAGTATTATATGTGAGAAGATTAGCTAAAATTTGAAACATATGACTCAAAAAATATAAATATTCAGATTCATGTACTAATCTCTGACGATCTTTCCTCATAATAGGATGAATGTTTGTAAGCTATTCATTTCAATTTATTGATCTTGTAAAATCAAATTTAATATTTATTATGATTACCAAAATATTTTACAATTATATATTTATAAGAGTCCAAATTTTTATTCCTGTTTTCATTCAAAATCTATCCATTTGAAAATAAATCTTGATATTTAATATATTATTTAAGAAAATCTGTTTTTATATTTCAATAAATAAATAAATTTTATTGTTTTTGTTCTTTAATCCAAGACGATTTTAAGTGATTAGATCTAATGTAATTTTTTTTAATGTCCAAGTGAATCTTTTTCATAAGTATCTTTCTAACATGAATATCATAAATAAAAAGAAAATCAAATCATATATCATAGAGAAAAAAAAGAACGATTAACAATAAGAAGAAAAAAAAAAGAACATGAAAAAAAATGAAATGTTACGTGTAGTTTTTTTAGTTCATCATAAATTCAAATGTTCATATATATTTAATGCTTTTGGTTTTTAAACAGGAAAATTGATAAATGCATTATATTGTTGAGCAGCTCGTTCAAGATCAATTAACTTTGGTTGAAGATTAGTTTGAAATTTTTTATCATCCATTTTGAGACATTTTAATGGTCCAATAGCTTGTACTGTAGCAGCATATGGTTTATGAAAAAATAACGATAAACCACCAAAATGATCGTAAGGACCTAATTTTGTAATTTTCACACGTGAACCATTATTAGATGTTGTTTTATAAACCATAGCTGCACCTAAATAAAATATTTGTTTTAATGAGAAAAAAAACAAAAAGAAAATTTTTATCTTCTTTTCTTTTACCTTGTAAAATAATATAAAAGAATTTGGCATCTTCACTTTCATTAATAATTATGTCCTTATCATTAAATTCTTCAAATACAAATTGATTTGAAAGATCAAGTCGATCGACATTATTAAGATGTTGAAATATTTGAACAAATTGTAAGGAATATGCCCATTCACCTAATTCCTAAAAAAATAAATAAGATTCAATAGACTAAAAAGTCTCATGCTGCTTACTGTAACTTCATCGTCATCGTTTTCGAATTGTTTTCGTAGTTCAATTGGTATTTCTTGACGAAATACATCCATTTGATCTATATAACGACAGAAAAATGTTTTAATAAAAAAAAAAATTATATATTTTACTTTCGTGTTCTTTCAAATCATCCATTTTTTTGAAATTATTTGATGAATAAAAAATAAAAGATAATGATGAAGATTTTTGTTCCTACCACGTTCGATTATTTATTATTTTGATCAAAGATAGACGAGATGATTTTGGAAAAAATAAAAATGAATATCTTTTAGAATTTTATATAACAGAAAAGAAGAAGATTACACATATGCATAAAGTAGAAAGGACTCCAATTTTTTGTTTTTAAATTTCATCGAAAAAACATGAAATTAGTTCATTTTCAACTAAAAATCATTAATAAAATAAAAATTATTAATAAAATAAAAATTATTAATAAATTTATAAAGACGCGCAAAAAATGCCCTCTTTCGAAATGCTTATTTATTCGATAAATAAATCGAACCAATCAATACGTCCGAATTTATATATGACGACTATCCATTTCAAAAGAAGGTGAGTGATTGTAAGATGAATAACTCACAAACGCGATGAGATATTGCGAAACGGTTTTCGCCAGCTTATAGACGAATCTGGGCCAGTGTTCCGAATGAGAATTCGAAATAAAGTGCGATATCGCACTCTTTTTCTGGAGGTAAAGTGAGATGTTGCACTCTGTTTCAAGAGCCAAAGTGCAAATATATAAATGTATCTAGAAAAAAGACATAATAGTTTATATTTTATACTCTATACTTCTATGTGCATGTATACATATAAATAATAATCAAAAACAATCTGTAAATCATCATTGAGTCACAGTATTTACACATAAAATAGAAAAAAAATACAAATACAAATACAAATCATCATTAAATCACAAGATTAAAAAAAACTAAATCAGCGATGAGGACTATCTGTACATCTAGATATTCATTCTAGTTAATCAAAAATACATATAATTTCGAAGCAGATCCATCACGAGATGTTAAAGATTGGGAGTCGATAAAGTTTTAAAAAAACTTCTATAAATTATCGAAATTTTGAAGAAAAGAAATTGACAAATTTATTGAAAATTTTTGGAGATCTTTGAAAATATTTCAACATTTTAGAAATTTTTTTAGATTTCTTAAAGATTTTTGAAGAGTTTAAGAATTTTTTGAAGAATGTTTGAAAATTTTTAACGATTTTTGAAAATTTCTAGGAATTTTTGATCATTTTTAAAGGGTTTTTAAAAATTTTTCGAAGATTCTTCTGAAATTTTTGAAAACATTGAGCCAAAAAAACAAAATTTCTAAAGATAAGGGATGACTCTGCGCTCGCGACAACTCCGTTTCGAAGTCATTTGATTGCTACTATTATTTGAGTTTTCTTTTGATTGATCAAATGACAATCTGGTTGATTGAATTAAAAATTTTTCTATAGACGTTGTTTGAGAGTGTCTGGATATCTATTCTTTGTTCATTATCTGAAATAAGAATAAGAAAAGACTATTTACTTGAATCAAAGAATATAATAAATAAGAAAATTCTTTGTAAAGATGAAACAACCAATATAAATTAAAATATAAAACAAAGTGAAAACTGTTATAGCAGAGTGCAGCGTGTGCATTGTATTTTTTCGAGTAGAGTGCAAAATAGCGTGCAAATCCAAATAAGTGCGTGGCGCACTCACTTTGATTTTGCTTGGTGCACTCATCATTCGGAACACTGATCTGGGCGACGCCGATCTGTGGAAGAAGAAAATTTGTTGCCCGGGTTTTCTAGCGAGTTTTCAGGTAGATCTTTGGGTGCAACTGCAGAATAACGACAGCGCGGCACCCACAGTCTTTGATGTGCCCTGTTAATTACACACATTAGCATAGGAGGTGTCGTTCTTCTGCGGTTGTACCAAACTGTTCTCTTTCGAGCTACACCAAGCCGGAGTTTCTAACTTGTTCCGTTCAGGAGTCGTAGAGGTTCTCCAGAAACCTCCGATTTCGGTCGATTGCCCTTGGGTCAGTCGGAAATAGGTCTAGAGAGAGGTTTTCGATCATGCTGAGTCGAGTGGTGATATTTATTCCCATTTTAGAAGCTGTCTGAAGTCACAGTTTAAAGTTTCCGAAAACATTGTCACTTTCTACTACATAGGAGGAAACAATTGAGTTTCGAAAACTTTGAACTGGAACTTCAGGCGGCTTCGAAAATGGGAATAAATATCACCACTCAACTCAGTGTAATCGAAAACCCCTCTCTAGACCTATTTCCGAGTGATGCAAGGGCAATCGACCGAAATCAGAGGTTTCTGGAGAACCTCTACAACTCCTGAACGGGACAAGTTAGAAACTTCGACTTGGCGTAGTTGGAAAGAGAACAGTTTTTTCTATGGAATACACACGTTAAAAATGAAAATCTGATGTTGGATCTCTAAAAATTATCGTAGTTTTCAAAGATCTACCTGAAAACTCGCTAGAAAACCCGGACAACAAATTTTCTTCTTCTATAGATTGACGTCCCTCAGACTCGTCTATAACTGGCGAAAATCGTTTCGCGATATCTCATCGCGTTCGTGAGTTATTCATCTTACAATCACTCACCCTCTATTTTGAAATGGATAGTAGTTATATTATAATACTATTTGATTGAGGTCAATAAAATAGTAATAGTTTTTATATTAAATATTTTCAGTGTTATGCATTTCAATTTATCACCTATGGCAAGTAAAACAAAAATTATATAATACTATAGTTTTCCAATTAGTCGTCGACATGTTGTTGCACTTCAACAAGCAACTACGGCAAGAACAACTGCTTGATCAGTTCTTTTTCGTTTTATTGAAGATTATCGTAGAAAAAGTCAATAGAATGATATTCGACTTGAATCATTTATGTCAAAAGGTATTTATAGAGAATTCGGTGCTATTTGACCAGTAAAATAAAACAAAGATCATTATTTATTTCATTGTTTTTACTTTTCTTATTTATATACTAAAACGATATCCGTTATATATTATCAAAGTTCTACATATTGTAATTCTATTTCTTTATATTGGTTCACTTGTAAGCAAATATGCAGCATTTGGTCTGGAAAAAATGAATTTATTTGTATACAGTGATGATGATTAAAAATAAAAGATGTAGTCGAAAGTATTTTTTGTGCTAAATGTCATAATCCTGTATACAGTCCTGGTAAAATTTTTATATTGATAAAAAACATATATAATTCAATTAAGATTATTTAAAGGTATTCATACTAATCCTCCAATTTCTGTCTTCTTTTGTTTACATATTTTTCATGCAAAATGTATTGAAACAAATCCAGTAAGAATATTTTTGTATTATTATATTTATAAAATATTACGTATGTATAGGATGTATGTGGAGTATGTTCAACAAGTTCTCTATTTGGTCCAACTTAATTTATAAAAGAACAAAAATTTTCTCTTTTTTTTTTTTCTAATTAACCGAGTGAATAAAATGATTATCTTTATTTATTTCCGTCCTCGTTTATTCGCCATGATTTGTTTCTTCTTTTTCTTTTTCTTTTTGCTCTTTCTCTATGTGTGTAAGTAATTGTGAAAACTGTTAGACTGATTTGTAAAAGAAAAGCAACAGTAAAAAGTTCGATTGAGTGTATTCATACATCTATTCTAACTATGTGCATGTGTGTCTGAAATAATATTTTTCAAAAGAAACAACATAATGATTGCATATGATAGTTATTATGTTTATATTTAAGATGGTTTTACTTGGTTTTATTGATGAACCTAAAGGAGGAAAGACAGATAATGATGATGATCCATCAAATTGGACTATTTCAAGAATTGGTGGACAACCTGTGAGTATTTATTACAAAAAGATTTTTTTTTTCTTTCTAAATAATATATATTTTGAAAAATTCAGGCATATCCCAGTGAAGAAATTTCAATAAAATTAAAAAATTGTCTTCTTTGTGCAAAATGTCAAAGAGAACAAATATTTGTTTGTCAACTTTATTGTCCATTAGAAGGTCATAAATATGATCGTACTATTTATCTATTTGCATGTCGAAATTCATCTTGTTGGAATACATCAAATAGGTTTATTAATTATTTTTCTTTTCTTTTTTGTTTTTTTTTTCAAATGTAATTTTTTTTAGTTGGACTGCAATAAGATGTCAAAAATTTGATGAAGCTGTTCGAGAATCAAATCCAATTGATGTTGAATCATCAACTACTGTCCCATCATCATCTACTGATTGGTGTGATGATGCTGATGCATGGAATAGTAATGATGATGATGATGATCGTGATAATAATAAAAATGATAAAAAACCATCTTCTATTGTAACAACAATAAAAAAAGAACCAGAAACAATGCTAAATTCAATGACAATTGAAGATGAACATGAAAAACCATCAAGTGATGATGAAGATGACGATGATGATGATGATGAAATAGATGTTGAAAGAAAAACAAAATCTAATAATAAAACTACATCTGTTGCATCATCAGATGCTTTTAATGAATGGAAAAAAATAAATTTAAATAAACAAACATTAGATCTATCTAATAATGTATCTTTTCCATTTTATTATATTATTATTGATGATGAACAAATTATTATTAATGAAGCAAAATTAAATGAAAAAAAGAAATTAAAAAATAAAACGAAACATTTAAATGATATAGATGAAGATGATGATGAAATAACTAAAGGTGGAAAAGAGTAAGAGTTTGTAGTTTTTTTTGAGTATCAAAAAAAGAAAAACAATTTATTTAGAAAATATGAAAAAACACCTGATATTGAACATGGTGATATAGTTTTTTATCGATTTCAACAAAAAATTAGATATGCACCTGATCAAATTATTCGGTAGGAATTAAATTTTATAATATTTAGACTTCTCTTAAGTTTTTATTCGGACACAAACATGACAGAAAAAAGAATACTCTTACAATTGAGCTATGTTGCTGCTATATGAGATGCTGCCTAGCGATAGATTCAGTAGCGCAATATCTTTCTGATAATTATGACTAGCTGAACAGAACACTGGCCTGACGCAGAGTTCTTGCACTTACGAGGAAACTACCTCAACTGTTTACGAGCTTTCGGCTTCATCTTTTGGCTATAGGTAGGCTGCAG